TTCTCTTCTCTTCAGCTTGAAAGTTGCTTTGATAAGGAAGTCAGGGTGCAGGGGGGACATATCCATCCCTCGTCCCTGAGACTTAGATGGGAGGTTCTCTGGGGATCCCATGGTGAGTGTCACCCATCCCGTGGGGTCCCCTGTCTTTTAGTTACTTAGTTAGTTGACAGAGAGAGAGAGAGAGAGATCACTAGTAGGCAGAGAGGCAGGCAGAGAGGCGGGGGAAGCAGGCTCCCTCCTGAGCAGAGAGCCTGGTGTGGGACTCAATCCCAAAACCCTGAGATGACCTGAGCTGAAGGCAGAGGCTTAACCCACTGAGCCACCCACGTGCCCCACCCCCTGTCTTTATACAGGAACACTTCTATATGGCCAGGAAAGAAGTTGTAAGCCTTCCCAGTCTTCTCTCTGCTCTGTTTATGGTTCTTCCCACAAGTGTCCTAATAGTAAGACTTTGAGAAGTTTCTGGGAGGAACAGGGTCTTATACCCCCTGTGCCTCACTTGGCCTTGGGCACGGCAGGGTGAGGCCACTGAGCTCTTTCAGATCAAAGTCAGAGGACGCGTTGGCAGGCAGGGAGAGCTCCAAGCTGGAGTCCGAAGGGCCCGATCCTTTACGGATCCATGACCTTGAGCTTGCTGGGGTCTCAGCTTGCTTCCACCATCTGCTCGCGGGGGCGCGGGGGGCGGGGGGGACATGACGACCGTCCTCGCCCAGCTTCATGCTCTCCCCGCTTCCCTCCCTCCCAGAGCTGTTGTGCGTTCAGAGCAGATAATGGATGTGAGGCCCCAGGGTTCCGTGTAATTCTGATTAATATTAATGATTCGACATGCAGTTGCCTGCTGCGTTCCAGGCCCTGGGCCAGCTGCCTCTCCGTGCGGGGCTGCGGCGAGAGAGCGCTGGACCTCTCCCCTCCCCTCCTGGGCGTCCTCCACCATCTGAAGGGGGTTCTGATCTCCCCTCTTCCCTCTGCACCCCCCAGATCTTCTCCCTGGGCCACTGCCCCAACCAGGACTGGCTGGCCGTGGGCATGGAGAGCAGCAACGTGGAGGTTTTGCACGTCCGCAAGCCCGAGAAGTACCAGCTGCACCTCCACGAGAGCTGCGTGCTCGCCCTCAAATTTGCCTCCTGCGGTGGGTCGTCGGGCTTGGGCAGGGCTCCAGGGCGCTGGGGCGGGCTTGCCAACACCAGCACACCACAGACAGCCCACATGGCCAAATGCAGGATGCCGGTGGGATTTGAGTCTTAGCAGATCATTTGTTAGTGTAAGTTTTTCCCAAGTATCGCACTTGTTTGTTCGCACAAATAGATCCTAAACTGTGCGTGAGATATACTTACACTTGAAAAAAAAAAAAAGCCAAATGATTTTTAGTGTAAGTATGTCCCGAGGATTGCCCAGGACACACACATACGCTAAAAATAAATAATAAATCGTAAGATACGGCGCATCTGTACTGACAGCGATTTATGATTTTTTTCCGGAGATTTAAGTGAACCGGACATCCCAGATTTTATCCGGCCGCCCTCTCCTGGGGGCTGCCCCCGCTCAAAGGCCAGGTGGAGCCCCGGGGGGGCCCAGTGTTCCCGTGCCAGAAAGGGAGCGGCCAGCCCCCGGTTGTCTTCAACACGCCCCACCTCCCTTCCCCAGGGCGCTGGTTTGTGAGCACCGGGAAGGACAACCTGCTGAACGCCTGGAGGACGCCGTACGGGGCCAGCATTTTCCAGGTAGCACAGCGCCGGCGGGCAGGCAGCGCTGGGCAGGTCACCACGCGCCTGGGGCCCCAGGGTGGCCTCACTGGGGGGGCAAACCAGAGAACTTCCCCGGGTCCTCCCATCCCTCCTCCCACGCCAACCCCAGCCAGCAGGCACTAAAGCAGGGTCTGCGCACTGGCCCGCGGGCCGTATCTGCCTGCAGCCCGGGTTCTTTTTTTTGTTTTTAATTATTTGTGTACTTAATTTTTTAAGACGTAAGATTTACCATCTTAGCCATTTCAAGTGTACTGTTGAGTGGCACTAAGTGCATAAGCACCGTCCTGCAGCCACCCCCACCACCCGTTTCCAGAACTTTCCATCCCCCCACGCGGAGACTCTGTCCCCACGAAGCACGGACTCCCCACCCCTGCCCCAGCCCTGCCTCCCACCCTCTCCTCTCTGGTCTGTGTGGACGGGACTCTTCTGGGGCCCTCCCGGGAGTGGGGTCCTGTGGGACGAGAGCTTCTGGGTCTGGCTCCTCTCGCTGAGCCCCGTGTCCTCGGGGTCCCTCCGCGTGATGGCAGGGGTCAGGGTCCTTCCCTTCCTGAGGCTGGACGGTGTTCCCGTGTGGGGACAGACCTAGCGGTGTTTATCTGTCTACCTGTCGATGGAAACATAGCACTTGCAGGCTCAAAACTGTCCACATCCTCACCGACACTTAGCGTGTCTTTTTTGGTCCCAGCCATCCTAGTGGGTATGGGGGGACTTCTACATTTTTTAAGGGGAGGAAAACAAAAGGGGAATCATGTGGCACAGATTTGGCCTCTGGACTTGCTGGCTAGAGATGGATCTGGATCAGCCTGAGAACTTCGTGCTGGGCCCTTTCAGGGAAGGTTTGGCGCCGCTGGTCATTGTGCCGTGAGCTTTAACTGGCCCTCTGCAGTGCTGTGTGGCCTCAAGCCCACTGCCCACGCTCTCTGAGCTTCCTCCAAAGGGGCAGGGCTGCAGTTCCATCCCTCTCAGGGTCAAGAACACAGAGGTCCTGCCCTTCCCAGGAGCACTGTCACTTGTCCAGAGGCTCAATTCTAGTGGACCTTCTTCCGGAAACATGTGTCATCCTCCTTTCCCCCAACTGGGACAGTCCTGGCGCCCCACCATGGGCTCCTGTGTCCCGTGTCCCGTCTTGGCCCCGGCTCATCCTTGTGGGCAGGCTCTTACCCAGTCGCCCTGCCTCTTCCCTCTGAACATTGTGCAGGGCCCCGTCTTACCTCCCCCTTCTCGCCCTCTCCCCGTCCCTGCCCACAGTCCAAGGAATCATCCTCCGTGCTGAGCTGTGACATCTCTGGAAATAACAAGTACATTGTGACAGGCTCAGGGGACAAGAAGGCCACCGTGTATGAGGTGGTCTACTGAGACCCCCCACCATCTCCCGGCACCCCTGGCCCGGCTCCTGGGGAAGGGGCATCCCGGACAGAGACCCCGACACCCCCCTCCATTCATACCTGTGAGTGCTAAGTCTCGTCTGCCCTCTGGCTGACTCCCTCCCACCTTCCCTTGCTGGACGTGGGGCTGGACGGGCAGGTGGACTTTGGGGAAATAAATGTATTTATCACAACTGCCTTTCTCTCTTGGGCTGGAGAGCCAGCAACTGTGGCTTTTCTCGCGCACCGTTACTGGGGCGGGGTGAGTGGCTGCGGGTGAGTGGCCTTCCTCCTCTCGGCCTCCCGTTCCTTTCCTGGATGATGAAGGAACCGGTCCTGCCTCAAGCAGCGCGGGGTGCGCCGTGAACAGCTGGCGTGGTACAGGGCAGCACGGCTTAAGGGACACCCACGGACCTCCGTGGCTGAACACAATGGACCCTGATCGCTCATTCTTGTCCCCGGGCTGGTGGGGCTCGGCTCCCGGTAGACACCCGGGGCTCCAGGACGGTAGACTTTCTGCCGTCACGGCATACAGCTTGGGGGTCTAGTGTCACAGGGGGAGGAAGTCACACACGCGCTCGGGGCTCTGGCCCCAGAGAGAGCTGCCTGGCTCTCTTACTGGCCGCTCTCTGGACAGAGTCCTCCCAAGACGCTGAACGCGTACAAGGGGCTGTGGAACATAGGGGAGCACATGGCTCTTGGGGTGCTTGCCCTGGAGACCCCCGGATGATTCCAGGCCCACCCTGGGGGGCTAAGCGAAGCCCACGGTCCCAGGGGAGGGGACGGTGAGTGAGAGCTGACCCGGAGAACGGCCACTGTGGGGGTCGTGCAGGTCCGTGTAGGAACAGAGGGAGCGGCAAAGGTGGAGATGGGGAGTGTGGCCGGGTGGAAACCGGGCGGGCCGGGTACTCCTCCTCCTGGAGCAAGGCCTCCAGCCCAGGCTGAAGCAGCCTACAGGAGGTGGCCAGCTGGGGGCACTGTCAGCGGGAGGCCAGGAGCCAGCAGGGGCAGGGAGGGGTGGGAGGGTTGCCAGTGGGGGTGGGGCGGGGGTCGGGGGCGCACGGGGCAGAGCCATATACTCGGGTCTGTGTTCTGGAAGCTCCTGTGAGCCTGGGCCGCAGTGGCGGGGCTGGGTGTGAAGCCGGGATGCTGCTGGGAACCTCCCGGACGGAGATGGGAGATGGTGGGGACCCCAGGGGAAACAAGTCACACCCAGGTGGACTTTTGGAGACACTCTTTGAGGAGAGGGTAATTCTCTGGGTAGGGAAAGCAGAGCGGTGGGCACCTTCTGGGACGCCTCTCCTGGAGGGACAGGTAAGCAAAGGTGGGAGAGCCGCCAGCACAGAGAGGCTGGATGAGAAGCTGTCAGCGACCCTCTCCCGCAGGGCGCTGCCAACACTGGGACCCATCACTCTCTGGGGGGTGGGGGGGAACGTCTCAGGCACTGGGGGGCCAAGCAGCACCCCCCTAAAGTCATGATGACCACCAGTGTCCACTGCCATTGCCATGTGTCCCCGCTGAGGGATGGGTTCACCCCCAGGTGAGATGCACCGGGGTATCTTGGGAAGGGGGGGACCCCATCCCTGGATCGGAAACCCCCTCTCTGGGAGGTGAGGGGGATGAGCTCAGTGGGACAGGGAAATTGGTGCATGTGCACCCCCACTCCCAACAGGGGTCCGCGGATTGAGGAGAGTCTCCGTGCGTATGGGCTCCGGGCTGGGAGACCCAGCCGGCCAAGTCCTCCCAAACCGCTACAGGATGGGCGGGCGGCAGGAAAGGACACACCCAGACCCACTCTGCTTCTTCCAATTGCTTTACTACCTGTGCAGTGGGGAAGAGACCCGGCCCCCCCCACACCCCTCCACCTTGTTGGGGGCAAAGGACAAAAAAAAAAGGGTCCCAAGTCAGGACGACAGGGCCAGGCCCCTCAGTAGGTGATCTGGTACACCGAGGCGTGGTCCTCAGACCCCGTGACGACCAGGCGGTTGTTGTGGGACACATCACAGCACAGGATGGAGGAGGTCTCGGGCACCTGGGAAGGTGGAAGGCCAGGATGACCTGAGGGGAGCTCACCCACCCCTGCCCCTACCCTCTGCCCCGCAGCTCAAGCCTGGTCCCTCTCAGAAGCCGTGCACCCAGCACCCGGAGCTGAGCACTGCCCCCTGCCCCGCGTCTAGCCCGCGGTGGTACCTGGAACACCATGGTCCCCGCGGGCATGCCGTAGATGCTGACCAGGTCATCCGTCCCAACGCTCACCCACCACTGGCCTGGGAGGGGGAGGAGGGGGAGGAGGGGACAGGGTCGTGGGAAAGCTGGCAGCTGTGGGCAGGGCCTCTGGGGACCTGGGGCACAGAGGGAGACCCCACCTCCCTCATGCCCCCGTGGAGAGCATCACTGAGTGGTTTCTGCTGATGAAGGGCAAGAGGGGCTTAGGGAGGGTGGGGCAGGACCCCAGGGGACTCCCCCACCCGCTCCCGGCCACTCACCAAATGGGGAAAACTTGAGACCCAGGATGGTGCCGTCCTTACACCCCACCATGTGCTTCTGGCCCCCTCGGGTGGGCTGTAGCCACTGTTGGCCACTGGCTGTGCCCACCAGCACCCAGTCTTCCTGGGGACTGGGGGACAGGCTCATTATCTGGGGGGGGGGCAGGAAGCAGGAAAGAGGCCGGTCAGGTCCCAGCCGGGCCTGGGAGGTGGTAGGGGCACAGGGACCCGCCCTGGGGGCTGACCTCCGGCCAGCTTCCTGGCTTCCTGGCCCTGACGAGCAACTTCACACCTCTGGGCCTCAGTCTGCTCATCTGTAAAGTGGGTTGGTCCTCTCTGCCTTAAGGGGTATTGCAGAGACTAAATGGGGCTACGGGCACCCAGTACAGAGCATAGACACGTCTAATGTTATCAGGGCCCGGGGGGAGGACATTCTTCCTGCCCCATTCCTGCCAGCACCGATCAGGCGTGGGGTCCCACTACCTCCCTCCTCGCAACATCCACCTCCTCTCTAGCCCAAGGCCCAGCCCAGCCCACACACCTGAGACTCGAATTGGTATTCCAGGGGCTCCCTGGGGGTCCTCAGGTCCCAGCACCGCAGGCAGGTGTCCAGCCCCCCTGTCCAGATGTTCTGGTCTTTGACAGCAATGCTCTTGGTTCCGTTTGGGGGCCCCAGCAGGTCCCTGGCCAGAAAGGGTATCGGCAAGGGGGAAGGGCCGAGACTCTGAGCCTGGGCCCCAGGAACACCACCCAGCCAGTCACACCCAGGTGACCGATGGGGAAACGGAGGCCAGCCACAATCTGAACTCAGGCCCCCCACTCTCTCAAACGCAAACTGAAGCAGTCAGGGGCTTTTAGCCTTCGGACCGCTGCATCCCTGCTCGGGGCCAGGGGTGGGAAGGAGCTTTTCGGGATGAGCCCACGCACCCCTGGGCCTCACCTGACAATGCTCTGGTCCCGCAAGTCCCAGATCCTGACTGTGCCGTCGGTGAAGCCCGCGAAGGCCAGGGTGGCCTCGGGGCCGGAGGCCAGGGCCTGGCAGGTGAGGCCTGCGCAGGGCAGCTCGCCGCTCACACGCAGGGAGGGTGCGGTCAGGTCCCACACACTCACGCCGGCCAGGTTGTGGCCGCCCGTCAGCAGGGTCGTGCTGGTCGGGGACAGCAGGCAGGTGCGCAGGTAGGCCTGGGGGGTCTGGGGCGGCACGGGTGCAGGTGACCATCCTCTGCGGTGGCCGGGGATCTTCCGGCTCCCATGAGCTCTGCCCCCAGAGCCAGCCCCTCCCCTACCTGTACACGCAGGTGGCTCTCGGGGCGCCGGTCCTCCAGCCCCCCGCCCACCAGGCTCCACACTTTGACGCCACCGCGGCCGCAGGTGAACGCGTGTCGCATGCAGCTGCTGACGGCCGTGGCGAGCACCGGCTCCCCGTGCTTTAGCGTCCGCATCTTCTCTGCTCTGTGCGGGATGGCCGCCTTCTGGGATTGCCAGGGCAAGGCATCTGGTCTCTTCCACGTGTCCTCGAAGTCCTCAGGGTCCCAGCATCTTGTGAGGGGAGGCCTCAGGGTCACCGGCCTGCCTGTGAGTCTCTCTGCCCGCAGGGGCCCCTCCACCAAGCCTGAGGAGCTTCATTCTTCAGAAGTAGGGTTTTCACTCAGGCTCGGCTTCCCAACTACACCGACTTCCCCCAGGGGAAGCCCCTTTGAGGATTCTCCCTCTCCTAGAACCACACATCACTGCCTTCCACCTAGAATGCTTTACCCCATCCTAGCAAACTCCTACTCATCTGTCAAGACCCTAACCATTATGCCCCTTCCCTCCAGGAAAGCCTTCTCATCCCCCCACGGCCTCCGCCAGCCTCCAACCACATGCTTGGGACGGTCTGGATCTTCCTCAACACCCTCTTCCCGTGGGAGTTCTCTCTTCAAATCCCTGGAACCCAGAACTAGTCATGTGGGGAGAGACGGTGACACTGGCCTGACTGTAACTACCCAACCCCCTCAGCTCTGGGTTTCAAGGACAGTAGCAGGGTGGTGGGGTAGAGAGGAGACACATTCTCCCTGTCCCCTCTGCCAGGGACAGAGCTACATGACAGGAGGGACAACACAGAGACTCACATGGGCTTCAGGAACCGGTAGGCTCTCCCAGCAGGCTCCTGCGGTGGGACCGGGATCATGCGGAGCCTTGTCAGCTCCCTCCGCCCCAGCCCTCTCAGCCTTCATGGAGGCTGCAGCTCGGGAAGGGGCCTCACCTGGGCCACGCGGAGGGAGAGCATCCCTTCGGTGTCCAGGCCTGGCAGGCCTGGCTCTGTGCTCTCTTCTCCGGAGCCCTCGGGGGAGCTGGGGGAGGGCTCGGGTGGGCTGGGCACTGGGTGGAGACAAGGCAGATGAATGGCAGGTGTGGGCTTCTCAGGGGCAGGCCCGTGCCCCCTCACCGCACTGGGATTACCCAAAGCATCTCTGCTCCGTGGTTCCAGTCCTGAGTCCTGTGGTCCTGCGTCCTGGCTCTCCTGCCCACGGGAATTGGGGCGATCAGTTCAGACCAAGTTCAGTTCAGTCTTTTTTTTTTTTAATTTTATTTATTTATTTGACAGACAGAGATCACAAGCAGGCAGAGAGGCAGGCAGAGGGAAAGGGGGGAAGCAGGCTCCCCGCTGAGCAGAGTCCGACGACAGGGGACTCGATCCCAGGACCCTGAGATCATGACCTGAGCCGAAGGCAGAGGCTTAACCCACGGAGCCACTCAGGTGCCCCAGTTCAGTTGTCTTAGACCCGGAAAACCTCGGGGAGGCCCAGGCAGTGTAGATAAGACTTAAGACTTGTCAACAGCCCCAAGTCCCATCTTGGGCACTGGCCTGAGTCCTCTCAGGGCACCCGGGACGGAGGACGGACACCGTGGACGACCTCGCAGGAACCCAGACACCCCAACCTGAGGACCCCCCCCCACCTTGGGGTACCACAGTTACTCACCAGGCCTGGCAACTGTTCTGTCGCTGGGACCGGGGGGGGGGGGGGGGGGGGGGGGGGGCGGGGAGCAGGACAACATGATTCAGTGGTGCTGTCCCCGACACAGCCCCAGGCCGCCGCCATCCCCCACCCCCAGGGAGACTCACTCCTGCGGCGCTGGTCCCTCCTGTGGGTCCCCGCAAAGATCTGCCAGAGCTGCTCGGTCAGAACGTCCTGCCAAAACCGGGGCTCGGGGTCCCAGGGGGACTGCGTGTCCGGCGTGGGGGGCCCGGCGTCCGCTCTGGAGGGCTGCCTCAGCCAGTCTGAGGACCTCGCGGCCAGGACGGCTTCAAAGGGTGGTCCCTGGAGCCCAGAGGGCTGTGGGGTCTCGGCCTCTGGATGCAGGGAAGCCTCGGGGCTGGCCTGTCCCACAAAGTGCGGAGTTGCCAGGGGCGGGAGGCTGTGCCTTGGAGCCGGTCCCCTCCCTCCTCCAGGGCCCAGGCACCCACCTCTGCAGGCTGGAAGCCCAGGAACTGGCTCCAGGTCTCCACTGTCCGCAGGAAACTCTCTGTCTGGATGGGGAAGGAGCGGGGGGAAGGACACATCCCAGCTAAGCCTTCGTCATGAGGCCTAAGCACACACCTCGACCAGCAAGCCAGCTTCCCAGTGCATGAAACAGGGACACGACACGGGGCCTGCCTTGAAGGTTCTGGGGGTGGATTCACAATGATGCGGAGCCTAGAGCCAGTTAGTTCTTCATACTCAGAACTCCACAGCCGAACCCTGAAGGCCGGCCATCACCCTCAAGGGGTAGAAAGCGGGGTCCCATCTGGGTTTCCCTCCAGTTGCTTTTCTTAGGAGGTTTGAAGACTAAAGCCTTGGAGCGCCTGGAGTCTCAGTCAGTGGAGCCTCTGCCTTCGGCTCAGGTCATGATCCTGGGGTCCTGGGATGAGCCTCCTGTTTGGCTCCCTACTCAGCGGGGAGCCTGCTGCTCCCTCTGTCCCTCCCCCCACTCATGTTCTGTCTCTCAAATAAATAAAATCTTTAAAAAGCAAGCAAGCAAGCAAAAGCTTCAACACCCCTCTGCTTAAAATGGCTTCGAGAAGCAAAGTCGTCGGTACCTGTGTTGCTCTGTGTGCCGACATCTGACCTTAAGTGTCGGGAGGACACTCAGAAACCAGTGATCACCTCTCGTGGAGGAGGGCCAGTAGCAGGATAATAGCGGACCCCGTGGGAGGGTCACAGCCCTTTATTTTACACTTAAAAATCAGGCCACGTGACTAGCAGCAATTCCAAATCTAAGTGAAGAGTTTCCATGGGCCTCAAAGGGCTTGAGGGCTCTAAGTCTGCCCCCCCCGCCGCCCGACCTGACCCGCAGGCATCGGCCTGTGCCTTTAGAAGACACGCTCCTTCCTGGAGACGCAGCGACCAGCCACAGATGGTTATTCGATACACAGTGAAGTCCGGTTAAAAATGCAACGTCTCCAGCCCCACTCAAGTGCTCAACGGCCACGTCGGCCCAGTGGCCGACAACATGGATGGCACAGGCGCCAAGAGCACAGGTGCCCAGCATGTGCCTGGTGGCCGGGTGGAGGGCAGTGTCAGCGATGTGGGAGCCTCCTGGCCAGTGTCCCCAGAAATCCAGAACAGGGAGACCGAGCTTCTGGGTCTGATGAGCACCCCTATGGGGATGCGCGTGTGCAGCTCTATTTAGTGAATGCGGGAACATTCTAGGCCTGTCTAACGCAGTAGCTGCTGGCTTTGCGTGGCTGGTGAGCACGCCGAACGCTGCTGGTTTGAAGGTCAACTTCAGTTTAAATAACGTACGTGTCCCATGGCCACCAGAGATCTATGTGCCCCAAGCATCGCCCTTGGGCCTCAAGGAAGCACAACCCTCAGGTGGTGGACCCCAGGAAGCTCCCAAGAGTGGTCCCGCCCAAGGCAAACTCCCCAGGCCTGGGGACAATCCTGATTCACAATTCACAAGAAAGAAGGAAGGAAGCAGCCTGAGGGCCAGCTGCGGTAGGCTCCAGCTCCCGGGAACTCCTGGCATTCCCATTTTGCAGAGGAGAAAACAAAGGCCCACGGTAGCAAAGCCAATTTTCCCAAGTCAGGAGGACCAGGGGCCAGGCTGTGTTTCCTGCAGCCTGGGCAGGCAGGCAGAATGGCGAGGGAAGAGGGGCCGGGCAGCGGGACCCCCCCCCACCTCTCTGAGCCCACGGCTGGGGGGGCTGCCTCCTGGGGCAGCCAGTGATGGGTTCCCCAGCTGGGCCTCCCAGCAGCACAGACCCAGGGGAGCCTTCCCCAATCCGCCCTGGCTCGTTAATGCGCAATTTACTGGCACTTGAACGCACTCAGCATGAAAAGCGCTGCTCCCTCCTGCCTGCTGGCTGGCTGGCCCTCCCCGGGGAGCCGGGGAGCCAGGGAGCTCACGCGGAGCAGGCAGGGCCACGGAAGGCTGCTGGGATTTTAAATGCACGGCGGGGAGGCTGGGAAAACAAGGAGCTGAGACAGAGGGGAGAGGACAGAGGGGAGTCTCAGCGGGACGCCAGGGCCAGCAAGGCCCCTGGATTGAACAGCGGCTATCTGGGGCAAGACCCACCCCTCCGCACACCCCTGAGCCCACAATCTCCTCTGTTCTCACCACCAGCTACTCACCTACATGGTCCTGTTCTCCCGCCCTGCCCAGACTCTCTCCTCCAGAGGGCGCCCGTGAGCACACGTCAGGTCCCCCCACCCCCACCCCTAAGGACTCCTAGTTCCCTGGTGGAAAAGCCCAAGTCCGCTCCAGGGCCCCCAAGATACCAGGGCACCTGCCCTGTCCCCTCCTCACTGCTCCAACCACATGGGGCCTCCTCTCTGTCCCTCCAACACAGCAGGTGCTGTCATGCCCCAGGACTTTTGCACGGGCTGTGCCCTCTATCCATTCATCCAAGGGAGCTGCACGCCCTCTGTGATCCTTCAAGAGTTTGCTCAAATGTCACCTCAGCATGCCTTGCACTCCCACCCCTTCCCCGTGTCCCCTGGGGCTGTGCAGAATCCATCCCTGCACCTTGCCCAGCCCTCACCATCTGACACTTCTGTTTACCAAGCTCCTGTCACCCCAAGGGCAGAGGTTTGCCTGTGTCCTTCTCCGCAGTTTCCCTGGCGCCTACAACGGCACTTGGCAAGGAGGTAATGGCTAGAGGACTGCTGAATGGATAACCGTGTTCTGGTTGCTTCCTGGCCCCCCTCACTCTGGATCCGTCTCTCCCGGTTCCCCGCGCTGCCCACCCCGGGCCCTGCTGAGCTGCAGACACAGCCCTGGCCTTCCGCCAGTCACATCTGGCACAGACAGAGAGTCCTGCCAGCACCCAGGAGAAAGGGGCCAGGTGGCGGGAGGACAGGCAGGACTGCAAGACGTGCTTCAGCTTGGGCAAGGCGCCCCGTGCCGGGAGACGGCCCCCCCTCCCCAGGCCTGTGCAGACCTGCCTCCCCACCAACCCCGCTCACGTGTGAGACACCCTCGAGAACACTTGGTTGCCCGGAAGGCTGTAATCCGGGTGCGCCTGGCACATGATAGGCCCTCACGGCGGAAGCAACGGACGCGAAAGTGCTGGAAAGGGCCCTAGCTTCATCTGAGCCACACGGGGAGCTGGGAGCGGGCCAGGGAGGAAGACACTCCCCGGGTGGGGGTGCACGGGGAGGGGCGATCCAGGGATCCCTGGGGCATCCCAGGTCAGGTCCTGCCCCCCTCTGCCCGCAGCCCTCCAGGGTTCCCACTTCCTTAGGGGTAAAAAGGCCCCCCCAGTGTCCCCGCAAGGGTCCCCACAACCAGGCCTGGTCATGACCTCTTGCCCTATTTTTCCCTGCCTTTCGAGGAAGGGGAGCCGTACCCCTCCTTGGGTCCTGGTGACCCACTTACCTGCTTGTGATGCTCCTGGAGACCTTGCCGGATCTTCTGGAGCTGCAAGGGAACGGCAGGGATAGCACCGGGAGCTGGGGTGGGGGCGATGGAGGGGGACAAGGGTAAGGAGTCGCATGCCGGGCATGCTTCTCCCCAACTGTGTGACCTGGGCAAGCCGCTCGCCCTCTCTGGTCACTACACTCATCAGCTAGAATATCCCCTACCACACAGAGTGAAAGCTAATCAGAGAGACCCTTGGTTTCATTCTCAATGTGAAGTTCAAAGACTCCCCATAACCACCAGGGCCCTGCACCCCTACCCTGTCCTCTCCCTGCCCTCTCCTCCTTCCTCTGCTCCAGCCACAGGGGCCTCCTCGCTCATCCCTCCAACACACCCAAGCCCAGTCCTGCCCCAGGGCCTTTGCACAGGCTGTGCCCTCGGCCTGGAATACCCTCCCTTCCTTGCTCTCTCAGGGATGGTAGAACCTCCTCACCTTCCCTATCTCCCTGTCAACATCACCTCTTCCAGGAAGCCCTTCCTGGACTCATGTCCATCTCCCCATCTTCTGTCTTCTTCATAGCGGTTAAATTTTGTGAATCCTCTTTCTCTACTTACTTGTCTCTCTCTTCTCCCTAGCCGGTGCCCTGTCTATAGGACTGGTCCCTAGTCAAGTGTGGCTATTTAAATTTAATCGAGTTAAAAATTCAGTCCCCTGCAAGTTCTCAGTAGCCACATGGGCCGGCGGGCGCCATATTGGGCACGGTTGATCTAGAACATTCTCGTCACTGCAGAAAGTTCTAGAAGACAGCCCCACACAGGCACCTACACTCCTCCCGAGCAGGGACTCCTGCTACCTATTGTTCCGTGATGAGCCGTCAGTCACAGAAACACTTCCTGTAAATACAGAATTTCTAACTTTTGCAGCAACGTTAGCACTCATGAGGAAAAAGGCTCTTGAAGAAGCTGGACTGCGTGGGTGACCTCACGCGCCCAGAGGAAGCAGAACCCAGTCAAGGAAAGGGTGTCCCCAAACCCTGCTCCCAAGGCCTGAGGAAGCAGCCCCTCCAGGCTATCTGGGGGCTGCTCACCGCCAAGTTCATGCTCTCCACCTGTGCCGCCAGGTGAGGGGGGAACCTGAGGGGAAGAGAACCCAGCAGAGCTCAGGAGGCCTCCTGGGAGCCAGCCCCAACCCCGCCCGCCCGGCCAGCCCCCCTTCACAATTAGGCAAGTGCAGTGTTTTTAAACATATAATCAGTGCAAGTAAATTCACGCTAAACAAGGACAACTCAGAAATTTAAATGAAGGCCAGGATGGGTATTGGTGGCTTTCCTTTCGCTTTGGGCTCCCCCGTTTCTAGTTCTGTCTTTCGGGCCAGGGGCTTCTGGACACCCCCCACCCCACCCCGAGGGACCAGAGGGGACGCTCTCCCTCCCTCTGTGGGCCACAGGGGCACCTCCAGTCCCTGAGAGTCGCCCTCACCTGGGGAACTCTCGCCGGAGTTGATCCAGGACAGCCTGACAGCTCAGTTCAGAAGGAGCCTGGGAAGGTGACAAGAGGTGATCCGCACACCACCCCCCCCTCCTTCCACCCTCCAGCCACACCTCCAATCAGCGCCCCCAGGGGGTGCGCTGGGACCTCCTGAAACCTGAAGGGACTTAAGTCCCCAAGGAGTAGCCTCTGTTTTGCCTCTTGGCCAAAAGTCTCAAATCCAGAGTCTTTGGAGAGCCCTTGAGAGAAAGAAGCTGGCCCGGCCCGGCCCCAACTATTGAAAAGGGTCATCTGTGCAGGAGGGGGACTTCTGCTTGCAAAATACTAGCAAGGACAATGTGGTCATGTGTTTTAACACCTGGGTGATGAGAAGCAGGTTTAATTTAAAAAGAAAGTGCCCAGGCACCTGTCAGTAGGTGTGGTGGGTTAGAGCCCTGCAACCAAAAGGCCTGGCCACCTGCCTGCGTCCCTCCATCAGCAGGAGAGCGGGGTTTGAGCCCAGCTTCCAGGCTCATATCCCCCACCACAGCGGTTAATGACCTCCTCACCAGAGTTCCTGGGGGCCCCATCATCCCTGGAGGGTGCTTCTGGGGGCTAGGATGGCCCCAAGAGGTGATCTTCAGGCAGGAGGCCCAAGGACTCTAAAATAACAAGGAGAGATGCAGGTCCTGAGAGCAGAAGTCTGGGCAGCCAGGGACAGAATCAATCCCACCCCCCAATCCCCCCTCATCCCCCCACCAGCCTCCCCTCCAGGACCCAGTCCTGGATCCCCACCCCCTCCCTGACTTCTAGCACCCCACTGCGTGTCCTATATACCCTCTGTTCATTTGTCAAACTCTGGTGCCTCTGGCTGCCCCAGCTAGTAGTGGGCTCCAGGGACGTCCTTCTATGATGTGGAGGGAGACGGTGACAAGACTCACACTCCCTGCCAGGAACTGTCACCGCTGGGGGACCCCAGGTTAGGACGCTAAAACTCAACCTTGGTTTCGAGACAATTTCCTAAAGCATGGATGAAGATCATTGGGAAGGGGTTTTGAAGGATGAGTAAGAGTTGGCCAGGTGACTTAGGAGGAATTTCCAGACAGGAGGAAAGAGACCTCTCTCCACCCGGTCACTCCTGCGCTAAGCCCCTTCTTTGCTTCGCTTCTACCCCTCCACGGCCTTCAGCCTCCTCCCCCGCCCGGGGGGACGCTGGGGTCCTCCAGGAGACACGCCTGCCTACTCACCTCCCTTAGGATGGAGGCCCAGGACAGCGAGGACGAAACTGCGGAGGGTCAACCGAGTTCAGGCCCAGAACGAACGCCCCTCCGCACCTCCCCTCCTCCCGGGGACCCTTTGACCCGTCGGGCCCCGCCCCGGCCAGCCCCGGCCCCGCCCCCGCCCGCCCCGGCCCCGCCCCGCCCCGCCGCCACCTGCACCACGAGGACGATCAATGAAAGAGCAGCAGCTGCACGTGGGCTCGGACACCGCGGGCGGCCGCTGCAGGTACTGGCCAATCGCGAGGCCGCTTACCCACGTGGGCCGCAGGCGCTTTCGCTGATTGGTCGGCTCTCCCCAGCCGCCGGCCGGGCTGTCAATCAGGGCGGCCGGCGCCTGAGCTTAACCCTTGCGGTACCGCTGTAGGGAAGGGCAGCGTGCAGAGCCAAAGGCACTTGGGGGTCCAGACTGGGGCGAGGATATTGAGAAGGGCTTGGGGCTTGGGGTCAGAGGGTGCAACCTGGGAAGGGGCTGGGCGGCGTGTAGTTGCATTGTTTAGTGAAAAGCTGGGCCGTTTTTAGCGGTGCCGGAGCGGCTTAGGGCTAGGGGTGGGGCTAGACGTCTGGGCGGAAACCTTAGCCCTCATTCCAGGGCTTCCACAGGGCCTGACAACGTTTTCCTCAATATTAGTAACGCAGCTCAAAGGAAGCTTCAAGCCCCTATAGTGGGGAAAACTTAGCATCTGCCTTTCATCGGGCAACAAGCCTGGGGCTCTGTATTTCTGTCCATGAATTCTCCCAGCTGTCCACCAAGCCCAGGATCTGAGAACCAAATGCGGGGACTGCAGAGGCCTTGAAACTGGCACAGTTCTTCCAGGCTCAGCCAGAGTAGGAAGGGGTGTTGGGTATTCCAGGCCTGGGGATGATAGAAAGATAAGGGACTGGGGTTGTAGGAGGGTGTCCTGGGATTCTAGACTTGTGCTCTGCACCCCCCACCCCGTTTGCAATGCCTACCTGCCCACCCCAGGGCCTTTGCACTAACCCTTCCCTCCTCTACCAGGAATAGTGACAGCCACTGGCTTGCTCCCTCCTGCTCAGAGGCCGCCACTTCTGAAGACCTCCCCTCACATCCCTTTTAAAAATGAACTTCCACCACCCGCCTCTCCCTTACTTAATTTTTCTCCAAACACGGTTTGAGTTGGCCCTAATCTTGTTGTAATCTTAGTAGCTGTAAGTCCTGCTGTGTTCAGAATTCACCTGGGGAGGGAGGCTGGGGTGAGAGCCACAGGAGGGAGAGGACGCTCTGCTTGCCCCTCTTCTGTGCTTTGCCTGGGGAGGGGCACACGGTTCAGGTCTTGGGATGCAGTCCCTGGAGGTTATGTAAACACACAACTGGGGTTTTGCGGCTGGTCTATGGAGGGCAAAGTGAGGGCTGCCAGGTGTGAGCCACAAAAAAAAAAAAAAAGGTTTTCACCCACTATCCCTCCACTGGCCCTTAATTGAAGCGTATTTTATTTATGAGACGGTCAGCTAATTGCCTCTGTGCACTTGGCTCTCTTCCTCCCGTGGCTGCTGGGCACACCAGCTTATCCAAGGCGGCCTCACCCAGTATCCACTGGGTACCTGTGGCAATTTAAATTAAAACAAATGAAAAGGAAACAGAATTAAAAACTCAGGTCCTCGGGCTCAGTGTCCTCATGTCATTTGCTCAGCAGCCACACGTGGCTGGGGATGACCATCCCCACTTTCCCCTGGCAGAAAGTTCCAGCGGGCGGGACAGGTCTGAGGTCTAGATCCGCGCACAAGTCAGAAGCATTTCACAGGAGCCGTCCTACGTTTTCCTGCTGAAGCCCACAGGTGGGCGGGGTAGGAGCTGGGATGGCGGGCCCTGTCCTTTCTTTCACTGTCCCCCAAGTCCCTCGGTCTGGCCTGTAGGGTAGGGTCGCAGCCTTCCCTGAGCCCTCTGGAAGGGCTGAGGGCACAGCAGAAAGGAGGGGAGGCAGCAAAGATTTCCTTCTTGGTTTTTGAGTTGTGGCCTTAGAAGCCCCAGGTCTGGAAGAGAAGAGTTTGCATTTCCAAAGCTGTGGAATTCCCTGGCAGGCCCTGGCGACCTCAGACCAGGCCCCCGGAGGCCCAGGGTTACGTGGGTTGGGTGCAGGCCAGGCAGAAGGCTCAAGGGAAAGCCCGGGGTACAGAAGGGGCCAAGCAGTGACCACAGGGTGGTGGTGGCAGCAGGGAAGCGGTGACCACTTTCTATCCCCTGACACCCCTGTTCTCTCCCCCATCCCCAGGACATGCCAGTGGCCCCCGGCCCCCCGTAGACAAGTGGCGGAGGGGAAGCAGCAGATGCAGAAAGCCGGTAGGCAGAAGGACCCTGGTGTCCAGTCAGTGTATGAACGACTGAGAGGCGGAAGGACAGGGACCCTCCAAAGACCATGGCTGCGCCCGGTGATGGATACTGGATGGCAGGATGGCCCTCAGCTGCCCTGCCCTCAGAGGCCGCTGGAATGCCCTTGAACTTAGACTTGGCCCCAGGAAAAGTGAATTTATTGAATTACCCAGAATTGATCGAAGTTAGCCTTCTGCCATCTGGTGGAGAGAGGCTGTTCATTTCCGGGGCTGCTTTGACAAATGACCGCATGCCCGTGGCTTCAAACAGCGGACATCTATTCTGTTGTGATCGAGGCCAGAAGCCCAAGCCCCAGGCGTCCAGGGCTCTGCTCCCTCTGCAGGCTCCTGGGAGGATCCCTCCGGTTGGGGGGTGGGGGCACCAATCCTTGGCGTCCCTCAGCCTCTAAACACATCCCTCCAGTCTTGGGTCTTCCCCCGGTGTGTGTCTGGTGTCCGAAGTCCCCTCTGCTTGTAGGACACCAGTCCCCGGACTTCAGGCCGCCCTGCTCCAGTACGACCTCAACCCTAGCAATTTCACCTGAAATCATCCTATTTCCAAGTAAGGTCACATTCCCACGTACTGGGAAATTAGGACCCAAGCAGACCTATTTGAAGGGCACCATTCTACTCTCAACAGGCTCAGAAGGAAAAATGGAATAGATGCACACACACCCCCATCTGCCATGAATCTGGCCAGCTTCACTCACCTCCCTGGGTCACAGAGCGACTAGAAGGCTAAGCTAAGATTTGAACCTGGGTCATCTGGCCGTGGGATGTACCCTCGTAACTCTGATGCCATAATGCCCAGATCTAAGTTAGGTTCCTGCCATCGAACTGCCCACGTCGCAGCATGAGGTGGGGGACCGCCACCCCCAGGGACCTGAGCTCAGAGGAAGGTGCACCCATCCCGCAAGCGGCCTTTTGGATCCCCAGACCCGGCTGTCACGTCTAGAGACGCCCAGATGGATTAGGTAGCCACCGCTGCATCACAAATTGTCCCCAAAGTTAGTGGCTTGAAGGAAAAGCCCTGATCATCTCCCAGGGATTCCGGTGGTCAGGAATCCGGCGGTGGCTTTGCTGGGTCACTTCTGGGGGCGTTGACCAGCTGCTGTCTGCATTTCAGCTGCTCTGTCCCCCTTCCCGGTGAATGCGTTCTGCCAGCCGGAAGCGGACTTGAAAATCTCAGTGAGACCCCGTCCAGCGTCACTCTGTCTCCCGGGACTGTCCCTGACCCTACTCACCACCCAGTGGGTTTTTGTTTTTCTCACCAGCCAGTGCTTCGTTGTTGTACTTGATTCTTCTTTCTCTATGCGTGTGTGTGTGTGTACACACGCGTGTGCATGTCGCTGAGAGGGTGGCTGGGTGGGTGACACACGCATCCATTCAGGGGCCTTTCTCCTGCTTATTTTCCCCAAATGTCTTTGTCTCAGTTGTGGGGTCCAAAGCGGCTTTCACCTCCCCGCTCCCCGGAACCTACACACTTCTGACACGCTTCCCCGTCGGGGCTGAGCAGGCTGTGGTGACCAGGGTGTCATCTGACTGGCGAGTGGTGTGCGTAGCCCTTTGTCCCATCCCTCGCGTTCGTCCCAATTTACACTTTGCCTGGAAGGAGCCTTCCTCTGGGACCCGGGGCAGAGACACGTGCTCTGGATGAGGCGCCAGCGTCGCGGCTTCCGACACTCGCCCATCCAGCCAGCTCGTGTCGGGTCAGGACCAGGAGTGACCACGGCTGGCTCGCCGGGGCGCCGGGCTGCGGCTGGCTTCCCAGAGGACTCGCAGCGGGCCCGTGTTCATCCCAGCGATGTCATCCCAAGGCAGGCAGTGGCCTTGACCCAGGGAGCCCCCAAGGCAGGGAGAGGCCGCAGACGCCTATCCTGAGGGTCCAGAGCATCGCCTCCGGAGGTGGGCAGCGGGGAGGGCGGATCCCCCGCTCGCCCTGCGCCTAGGCCGCTTCGGAGTCGAACCTGTGGTCTCCGGCGCCCTCTGCTGGCCACATCTTGAATTACAGCGCCGTCGCCGCATCCTTTCCCGACCGTGGGGTCACCTGTTTTACAGCACGCCCTGCGCTGTCGCAGGATCTTTAGTAAATTTGTCCGGTGGCACAACCATCAGCACAGCCGAATCTTGGAACATCCCCATCACCTCGGACGTGTCCCTCCGGTCCGTTATGAATCTCCCCCCAGCTTCCTCTCCCTGGAAAATCTCCTTTTCTAGAAACGTCGCTCGCATGGGCTTCTAAGTGTGAGTCTTTTGTGTCCGGATTCACCTGGGTGGAGGTTTGCCTGTTTGCGGTTTGGGCGGCGGCGGACACAGCTGTGGCGGACGTCCACGCAGGTCTCTGTGTTGGAAGGGGTCGATGCCTGTGTGTCCCTGGGGTCGATGCCTCCCCGTGGAGCCACGAGGTGTGGTGTGGCAGCAGGTCTGTCCACCATCTTCTGGGGCTTCCAGGCTTCTCCCCAAAGTGGCGGCACCGTGTTGCCTTCCCACCAGCTGTGTATGAGCCGTGACTTGCTCCACGCGCTCTCAGTGGGGAAACTTCTAAATGAGGGGATTCCCCGTGGCGGGACCCTCGTCCTTCTCCGAAGGGTCTCCTGGTGGCCAGCTGGTCCTCACCGGGCCCCGGGCTCCCTGCTGCAAGCCGGAGCTTCGCTTCCGCCTGTCTGCTGAGACTGGATGCCAGGGGGGTTTGGGATGTCCCCGCCCCTGCGTCCTTGCCGTGGGT